GTAAAGTGGCGTGAGCTTGGCTCACTGCAACCTCCGCCTCTGGGGTTTAAGTGATTCTCCTGCCTCAGCCTCCCAAGTAGCTAAGATTATAGGCACCCAACACCACGCCCAGCCAATTTTTGTATTTTTAGTAGGGATGGTTTTTCGCCATGTTGGCCAGGCTGGTCTCAAACTCCTGACCTCAGGTGATCCACCTGCCTCGGTCACAACTTTTTTTTTTGAGATAAGGTCTTACTCTGTGACCCAGGCTGGGGTACAGGGGCATGGTCATAGCTCACTGCAGCCTCAAACTCCTGGCCTCAATTAATCCTCCCACTTTAGCCTCCTAAGTAGCTGGGATTACAAACTGGAGCCACGCTGCTTGGCTCCAAGGCAATTTATTTAACGTTTCAGTGCTTCATCTCCTACATGGAGATGATACTACTATATAACTACTATTGTTATGTGAATAAGTTAGCATGTGTTCAAGAGTTTAGAATAATATATTAACTATGATAGTGAACTTTAGGTATCCATCTGAGTGGATTAAGGGATATCTAGCTAGCTGCTAAAACACTATTTCTGGGTGTGTCTGGAAGGGTGTTTCCAGAAATGACAGGCATTTGAAGCAGTGGACCAAGCAAGGAAGACCCACCCTCATCCAGTTTGGGCAGGCACCATCCAATTGGTGGAGGGCCAGGTAGAACAAAAAGGCAGAGGAAAGCTGAATTCACTCTCTTTTCTGAAGCTGGGACACCATTTTCTCCTGCCCCTGGACATTAGAGCTCCATGTTCTCCAGTCTTTGAATTGGAGAACTTCTACCAGCAGCCCCCTGGTTCTCAGGTCTTCAGACTTGAATTGAATCATGCTCCTGGATTCCCTGGTTCTCCAGTTTGCAGACAGCCTATTGTGGGACCTCTCAGGCTCCATAAACACGGGAGATGATTCCCTTAATAAATCTCTTCTCAGATATCCATATATCCTATCGGTTCTGTCTCTTCAGAGAACCCTAATACATTAGCAATTGTGCTTTTCAGGTTGAAAAATTCACTTCAGTTTTTCAAGTTATACCTTAATGTTTCACTTGGAATAGTTGTTCCTTCTATGGCTACCCCTTAATGCTTTCATCAGAATGATAGCATCATCCTCATTAACAAAACTCACTCTTTGACAGTGACTACAGTGCACTCTGGTATGGTTCTAAGTAGTAGTTTTCTGTTATCAACTCCTTTAATTTTTCCTCCCATTTTACAGAGGCATAAACTGAATCACAAAGAGAGGTTACGTCATTTCTCTAAGGTCATAATTGTTAGCAAATAGCAGAACCAGGATTTGAACCCAAGCAGTCTAGCTCCAGTGATTGTACTCTTACTAATTTAATTATACTGCTTCAAAAGAGTATACTATATAAACATAGATATTCTGAACATTATAAACACATAAGTTTATATCAAAAAGATTAAAATCTTTCATTCAAGTTCTTTTCAAAAGGCTTCTAACAGGCTCTCATCTAGACTTCTGAAATAGATACCAGACACTTCCCTGCCTCCAGTCTCTCACAATCAGAATCTATGTTTCACAAACCATCACCTGATCTACAAAAAAGTTATTTCCCCCTTGAAAAATATTTTAGAGAAATGGAATACTTTCTGAAATTATTATAAACTCCTTGGCTATGCATCTGGGGCTACTGAGATACAGACAAAAGCCAACCAACTGAATATACTGAAAATAGCACTGGAATATGTACAGGCCACGGCTTAGCCTCAGCTCTGAAAACAACTTTTTTTTTTTTGACACAGGGTTTCACTCTGTCACCCAGGCTGGAGTGCAGTGGCACAATCACAGCTTACTGCCACCTCAACCTCCCAGGTCCAAGTAATCCTCCCACTTCAGCCTCTTGAGTAGCTGAGACTACAGGTGCTTGCTACCACACTCAGCTAATTTCTTCTTCTTCTTTTTTTTTTTTTTAAATAAAAATGGGGTCTCACAATGTTGCCTAGGCTGGTCTTGAACTAGGTTTATCTTAAATTAATACTTCATTACAAGATGACGACATTTAGGTATATGTTAGGTTGAACCACATGAAATTTTTACCTACAAAAATGGCAATTTCATATGATTCAATCCAACTTTTTGCTAACTGATGGACTGTCTATCTTCCTTCCCCCTCCAACTGTGGAATGAGCCCACGAGGGAAGGCATTTTTGTATGCTTTGTTCACTGTTGTATCTTCAGTACCTGGAACATAGTGGTATTTGGCAAATATTTGCTGGATGAATAAAATGAATTTACTAAGCTCTATTTGCCCTATATTATTCTGTATGATTTATATTTTATAGCCCCTTTGTTTCCTAATAGCATCCTAATTACTGTCATTCCTCAAATGTGGAAACTGAGGTCTGGTGAGGTCAAGTGACTTCTCCAAGACACTTTTTTCTTTTTTTTTTTTTTTTTAAAAGACAGAGTTTTGCTCTTGTTGCCCAGGCTGGAGTGCAATGGCATGATCTCAGCTCATCGCAACCTCTGTCTCCCAGGTTCAAGTGATTGTCCTGCCTCAGCCTCCCAGGTAACTGCGATTACAGGCAAGCGCCACCATGCCTGGCAAATTTTGTATTTTTAGTAGAGATGGGGTTTCTCCATGTTGGTCAGGCTAGTCTTGAACTCCTGGCCTCAGGTGATCCTCCCATCTCGGCCTCCCAAAGTGCTGGGATTACAGGCATGAGCCACTGTGCCCGGCCAGACACTCTTAAATAATACTTTATGCCAGGCCATTTATATTTATGCCATAAAGGTTGTTCAAATTCAGGCTATCTTTCCTTCCTGAACTAGAACATGCATAGATTTACTGAAAACAGTGATTAAGAAACTCTAGGACGAGAAGGAGAGACAGTGGGTAAGGGAGGGAACAGAGTAGAAAAAGACAGACACTAGTCAATGGGTTTGGGAAAGCCTGCAATTGGTGAAGTGCAGTATGAAATATTGTCTAAAAAGGACCCTCAGGCCTCCAGGCCCTCTGCCTCTTCAACCGTCTTGACACTTGCAACCCTATCACTGGTGTTGCTTACTTGGGAACTGGGAGTAGATGATGGATGGCTTTTACCTTTGGCCTGCACATGAGCCTGGCTGGGACTACCAGACTCTTTCAGGAAGCAAGAGAGTAGTCTCACTCTTTTTACCATTTCCTCTGTGGATGAAATCAGGGACCCCTACCTACAAAATTCTGTTGCTTTAAAAGACTTTCCCCTAACCTGACTATGGAGATACAGTGCCAAAAAGAACAAGTTAACATATTTTTAAGTAAAGGGGCTTTCAGTTTGAAATTTGTTGCTGTTCTTTATTTCCCTTTAGTGCAAAAATGCATTCTACCTTTTGGAAAGGGAAGTCATAATCTTTTACTGCCATTATTCTTTTTTTTTTTTTTTGAGGCGGAGGTTCGCTCTTGTTGCCCAGACCGGAGTGTAATGGCGCGATCTTGGCTCACCGCAATCTCCGCCTCCCAGGTTCAAGCGATCCTCCTGCCTCAGCCTCCCAAGTAGCTGGGATTAGAGTCATGTGCCACCGCGCCCGGCTAACTTTGTATTTTTAGTAGAGACCGGGTTTCTCCATGTTGGTCAGGCTGGTCTCCAATTCCCACCTCAGGTGATCTGCCCGCCTCGGCCTCCTGAAGTGTTGGGATTACAGGCGTGAGCCACTGTGCTGGCCTTTTTTTTTTTTTTTTTTTTTTTTTTTTTTTTTAGTCAATCTCTGATAAATAAACTGCTGCTATTTTTTAATGCCAGGGGTCTCAGGTCCCACGGAGGGTTTATTCATGAGTGGCCCATTACAATTTCCACTCCTGCTGAAACGTCCTTTCCCTTCCACCAGAATAAGCTCACTTTCTAGGACATGCAATCTGTAGCAGTCACAATATATATTTTCCAAAACCTGAAAGAGGATAAATGGATGATTTCTCAAATGCCCTGAAGCAAAATTAAAAACTCTGAGCTGTCATAAAATCAGAGTTAGATGACACTCCTAAGTGATTAAGTCTTTGAGATTTGTAGTCTAACCCTGGAAGTGCTGGGCTACAAAACAGAAAAGCAGATGATGAGCCAAGGCATGGGAGTCAGAGGGTAGGGGAGCCATCTCCCAGCCTATTACATACTGGCTGGGGGCCTTTGGCAAGTTAGTTAACTTCTCTAACTCTCAGTTTCCTCATGTGTAGGAAAATCAAAGAACAGGAAATGTATGCAGAACACAGCACAGTGTCTGATATGCAACAAATGTTTAATAACTATTAAATAATAAAATATCAAAAATTAGGGTACATAAGGATGTACCCTAGCCCCTGGGTAAGTTTAAGTATCTTTGCTTGGAATCGATGGAATAAATTTAACATTTTTTTCTTGTGCCTCCAGGACTAATTAAGCACAGCTCTGGCCTTATAAAAACCCAATATTAAGCCAGATACAAAGGAGAAATTGCAGGCCAGGCGCAGTGGCTCATACCTGTAATCTCAGCACTTTGGAAGGCTGAGGCGGGTGGATCATCTGAGGTCAGGAGTTCGAGACCAGCCCGGCCAACACGGCGAAACCCCATCTCTACTAAAAATATAAAAATTAGCTGGACATGGTGGCGTGTACCTGTAGTCCCAGCTACTCAGGAGGCTGAGGCAAGAGAATCGCTTGAACCTGGGAGGCAGAGGTTGCAGTGAGCCGAGATGATCGCACCACTGTGCTCCAGCCACTGTGCTCCAGCCTGGGTGACAGAGTGAGGCTCCATCGGAAAAAAAAAAAAAAAAAAAAGGAGAGTTTCCTTCCTTAATCTCAGACAGCACAATTCAGGTGTCAACAAGGTAAGAGAAGATGCTCTTTTTCAGAGTCAATGGGTCACTCACTACATAACATAGCTTCTCGTCTCAGAGACGAAGATTCCCGAGAGAAGCAAACATGATAGGTGGTTCTTTCCAAGGTGGTACAAAATATAAGTGATACATTCATAAACAGAACACAGGATGAAAAATACTCAAGATTCTCACCAGTTTGAAGCTTTCACTTTCAGGCAATTGTTTAATACCAACTTCGAGGCTGCCATCTTCCTCACTACTAACAGGTTCAGTGCCGCTCTGATCCTATGGAACATTAAAAAGAAAACGGCAAAGATGTCATTCTTCACTCACACTCCCTCGAATTGTACATATACTCACTGTCATTTGCTCATTGTGTGGTTGTGGTGGACACTGTTTCCTCTGAGGAAGCCTCTTCTGTTTTCTTTCTCTCTAGCAGAAGACTGTTTTGCTGTTGTTGTTTCAGGTATCTATCTCTGCTGCTCATATACGGGCCTTAGGGAAAGCCGGTCCCTACCCAAGGACCGGCCTAGGATAGTCTTACTCTTTTCCCAATGATTTTGTCAGGAATGGGCAGATCAGGAATAGATGTCAGTTCTGGCCAATGAAATATAAGGAGACGTTTGCTGGAGATGTGTGGAAAAGTTTTTCCTTAATCTTAAGAGAGCCGCAAGAAGTCCTTATACCTCCCAAATTAACAAGCGAGCATGAGCCCAAGTTTCCATGGACAGCTGTGCCATGACGACGAGGGAACCAGCCTTAGAATCAGGCTGACCCTGTGGGTTACAAAGCAAGGGTAGAGATAGAAAGAACTGGTTCTCTGATGGCAAACTAGGTCACTGGACTGAGCAAACTTGGAGCCCAGCCTTATCCTTAACCACCTTCTGTGACAGCTGATACATTTCCTATTGCTTCGGCCAGTTTGAGTTAGCCATTCTGTTACCTCCAGCCCAAGCTTTCTCACTGAGTCAGTTGACTGTATTTTGTATATGACTAAACTGCTTGAGATAAGAGACTGGGTTTATCTCGTTGATTTCTTTATTATTTTTTTATTTAATAAAAAATAATGTCTCTTTAAAATTTAATAAGCAATTTTTTGTTGTTGTTGGGGGAGACAGTCTTGCTCTATCGCCCAGGCTGAAGTGCAGTGGCATGACCTCCGCTCACTGCAACCTTCGCCTTCCAGGTTCAAGTGATTCTTGTGCCTCAGCTTCCTCAGTAGCTGGGACAACAGGTGCATGCCACCACACTAGCTAATTTTTGTATTTTTAGTAGATGGGATTTTGCTATGTTGGCCAGGCTGGTCTCAAAGTCCTGACCTCAAGTGATCTGCCTGCCTCAGCCTCTCAAAGTGTGTCTTCTTGATTTCTGAAATCAAGTCCCATCACCATGCCTGGCACGGTTTACCTAACACTGATGGAACTAATGAATGCACTGAGTACTTGTTTTCTTTCATGACTTTTTCCTGCAGAATCCTGAAAATATGTATTTACATAAATGAGACACCTGGCAATAATACATACCACTAAAAATCTAAAACATATTAGGTATCTCCTCAATTGAATTGTGACATATTAAATGTTATAGTTAACTAACTAGAAGTTACTTTACTTTCTGGGGGTATATAAGGGAGGATAAGGATGAGAAATGGAATACCCACATTGTACTTAACTGTTAACTAACTAGAAGTTACTTTACTTTCTGGGGGTATATAAGGAAGGATAAGAATGATAAATGGAATATCCACATTGTACTTACCTGGACTTTTATTTTTAATCACCACCATCCTGGGATTACTACAAATTTGGCTGAAATAGTTTATAGGGAAAATAGTTTTGATTTTGAGACATTCAATCTCACTCATAATTTGATGCAATTAAAGCAAAGAGAGCAATCTTTCAACTATCAAATGGACAACAAAATAGGAAAAGAACATTCAATATTGGTAATGTCAGAGAGAGAGGAATTTTTATACACCACTGAGTGAATGTAAATTAAGATAATCTTTACAGAAAAAAAACATACTCCGTGTGTGTGTGTGTGTGTGTGTGTGTGATTGCTTACTTCTGGGGAGTGGAATTAGGGAATGGGTAATTTTGCACTAATTATTTCTATGCTGTTTCATTAGAGAAGAATTATCACATACAATTGCATATTTAAACATAAAGTAAGGGGAGACTATGAGAAACACCTAAAAGAAGAAAAAAAAAATTAAAGAAAACAAGCAGCACGGACTTTAGAATTGGGCAGATTTGGGTTCAAATCTCAACTTTGCCACTTACAATTATATGACTTGGGGCAAGTTGCTTTCAAACCTGAGTACAGGTTAAGTATCCCTTGTCCAAAATGCTTGGAAATGTTTTGGACTTCAAATGTTTTCAGATTTTGGAATGTTTGAATTATACTTACCAGCTGAGCATCCCAAAACCAAAATGAAAAATCTAAAATCCAGAATGCTTCAATGGGCATATCTTTGGAGCATCATGTTAGTGCTCAACAAATTTCAGATGTTGGAGCATTTCTAACTTCAAATTTGGGATGCTCAACCTGTAACTTAACTTGTTTTTAAAGTGCAGATAAAATACCAGATTAAAAATACTACCCTATAAGGTTGCTTTAAAAGATTAATGAGTTAATATGTAAAATATCTATTTGCATAACACCAGGTACAGTTAACTTTTGTTTCTAGCTTTTAAATATAATTTACTATTTTATTTTCTTTCTTTTTTTTTTTTTTTGAGACGGAGTCTCGCTCTGTCACCCAGGCTAGAGTACAGTGGCATGATCTCGGCTCACTGCAACTTCTGCCTCCTGGGTTCAAGCAATTCTCCTGCCTCAGCCTCCTGAGTAGCTGAGATTACAGGTGCCCACCACCATGCCCAGCTAATTTTTGTATTTTTAGTAGAGACGGGGTTTCACCATGTTGGCCAGGCTGGTCTCAAACTCCTGACCTCAAGTGATTCACCCACCTCAGTCTCCCAGAGTGCTGGGATTATAGGCGTGAGCCACTATGCCTGGCCTTTTCTTTCTTTCTCTGTTTCCATGTGAATTTGACAGAACTGTTTCTAGCTTTTTGTTGAAGCCGACTCTTGATTCTTGCACTATCTCATATAGTCTTCCTAATAACCTGCTATGGGTATGTACCACCATGATCCCAATTCATAAATGAGGATAATGATACATTTTAAATAACTTGCTAAACAACTCCAGGTAGTGAAAGGTAGATCCAAGAGTCAAAGCTGGGAAAGGGTCATGCTAGGCCCTCAATAAATGATGCTCTCATTTTTCTCTCATTCTTCCTTTTCACTATTGAGTATTGACAACTGATCTTACAGAAGATAAGACCCATAATCTTTCAAAAAATTATTGTTAATAGACCATGGATTTTTAAAAACATGTCTTAGCATTTTTTAAACCAGAAAATTGCATTAGATAGAACATCCTCTTCTCATTGAATTTTGGATAATCAAGGAGTTACCATGTAAAATAAACATACCCAAGTTAATACATCTTGAAAACATACAGATTTTCAGCATTTTTGACAGTGGTAATGTAAGTTTTAGAAACAGAAATTCTGAACAAATGAATTAAAAATCAATATTTATGGAAAACTTGTAATGTCCACATTCCTTAGTGTGTCTAGTTCTGCAAGCTGTGGGAGCCCCTGAAGAAAGCCTGGCGAGGTTATGGTGGCCAAGTGGAGCTTTGAAATAGTTGATGTTGGGCCAGGTGTGGTGGCTCATGCCTATAATCCCAGCACTTTGGGAGGCTGAGGCAGGTGGATCACGAAGTCAAGAGTTCAAGTGGCCAAGATGGTGAAACCCTGTCTCTACTAAAAATACAAAAAAATTAGCCAGGCGTGGTGGTGGGTGCCTGTAACCCCAGATCCTCAGGAGGCTGAGGCAGGAGAATCGCTTGAACCCGGGAGGCGGAGGTTGCAGTGAGCCGGTATCATGCCACTGCACTCCAGCCTGGGCGACAGAGAGAGCCTTTTGTCTCAAAAGAAAAAAAAAAAAAAAAAAAAAAAATTAGCCAGTGTTTGTGGACTGCAGCGCATTAGACTGTAGAACAAACCCACAGGTTCCATTAGTAACCCTGCAGATGGCCACCACCTCTGGTCTCAGATGACGGAGATTCTCACATGAAGAGGGGTCAGCTGAAACCATTCATCTAATTATGCACATGTCTCCTTAGGGAAAGGAAAGTGTTCCTTAAATAAATTAGAGGAATCTTTACTTTTATATTTCTCAGCAATATGCATATTGAAGATGAGATATTCTTGGTCTTTATAAAATGAATACTAAAGTAGAGGAGAAAACAGCTGTTTAAGGGATGCGTCAACTTGTAAAATTTAAGAAAATATGGGCAAAGCAGTCTAGGTTCCAAATAGTCTATGCATCCTTTAAGATGTGAATAGAAACAAAAAACGCCCTCTATGTTTACACTACATACCACACTTAGAAACTAGAGGATCAAATGAAGCAGAATTTATCATTCAAAGCCAGGTCTCAAATGCCACTTGTTCCATTGTATCTTTTCCTTCTCCTTAGCTGGGGGACATGTCTCCTTCCTCTAAATTCTAACATTCTACCTGAACCTCCTCTGTCACTTAACATTCATCTCTTTTGTATCCTAATTATGTATGTGCAGAACTGATCTCCCTGATGGGACTGAAAGGTCCTTGAATTGAGCATCTGGGCCTCATTCATTCCCATTGCCTGATTCATTTTTCACTCTAGGTCTGTTTTACTTCAAATTCCATTTAACGTACTACGCCTCCCCTCTTTTCTTCTTAGTCTGAGATGACTCTGGAGAGGAGGGTTTGAAGTCTAAATCTAGATGGAGTTGGGAGTCAGGCAAAAAGGAAGTTGGAATTGAGGGAGGATAGCAATAAAGCATTTACTTTCTAGGAAAGCTAAAGTTTGTAACAGTTTAATGTTTACATTAATGTTACATCACAAGGAGAGCTAAAGTTGTAATGTTTACGCTAAAATGAGGTACAGAACACAACAATGTGGATCCCTTCCTTCCTCCCTCTCTCTTTCTTTTCTTTTCTCTTTTTTCTTTTCTTTCTCTTCTCTCTCCTTCCTTCCTTTCTTACTTCCTCTCTTCTCTTTTCCTTTTCCTCCTTCCACTCTTCTCTTTTCCTTTTCCTCCTTCTTTCCTTTCTTTCTCTTTCTTCCTTTTCCCCTCCCTCCCTCCCTCCCTCCCCTCCTCCCTTCCTCCCTTCCTCCCTTCCTTCCTTCCTTTTTCTTCACCATCTCACTCTGTCACCCAGGCTGGAG